AAAAATCTATTATTTATAATATTTTGCAGTATTTTAATAAATACTATAATGTCCAAATTTTGCTCAAAAAATTAAAACAAATATTTTATTACAACTTTAGACACATTTTTAATTTGTATGGAGAAAATTATTATAGTTAGTAAAAAATTAATTTCATATATTTTAGACTTATTTATATACGTGTGTTAGTATTTTTTTTTTTTCCAAAATTTCCATCACCTTTCCCACATGCTGAAAAAAATATAAAAAAACTCACTTATAAAATTCTCCACCGTTTCAGTCAAGTTCGAAACCATTTTATCGCGTTTTACAACCCTATATACAAAAATATACATTATTAATATAACAATATAAAAAAATAGTTGAAAATTATTTATACTTGTTAGAGTTCTTAATATCTAGTTAAATATAATAAATATACTATTAGTAATAGTAATAGTTTATTTATATTATATTATATTATATATATATATATATATATATATATATATATATGTTTAACCCCATCACCATTTATTTAATTTATTAAAATTGAAGTTTTATTACCATCAGTCTCCACCTCTCGTTCAAGATATTTTTTTTAACAAGTCCTTTATTAAAAATATATGTTATCCACATTCTTTTAAAAATCCTGGACAACTCCTGCTCCTGATTATCCTTTTTGTAGATTTTAAGGAATACCAGGAATTCGGTTTTTGGAGTTTTAGATGAAAAGTTTCCTGTTTTTTGTACATTGTATGGGAATAACTGTTTGGAGTTTCTTGGGTGTCAAATTTCTGGAAAAAATAGACAAAAATAGATAAAAATAGAAAAAAATTACATATATATATATATATATATATATATATATATATCTTTCCCCTTTCGTTTCTCACAACCCGCTCCCACACTTGCGTTGTAACCTTGATCAGTGTCCATAATGCACCGCTATCAATAACATTAAATAAAAAAGGACAATATGTGCTCCTGTATATTTTTTATAATATTTTATCATAAAGATGTACAGAAATATATTTAGCTACGAAACTTTTAGTGTACGTCTTCGCTAAAGAGAATTATACAAAGATAGCGCCACGTGAAAAGTACTTTTGAATATTCAATATCAAATTTAAAGTATACCGAGTTGCTGTAGGGTTATGATGTTAGACAATATTGTAGATTATTAAATTTTAAATAATTTTCCTATATACCATATTTACATACAAACATTGGTTTAAGATTTATGAACGATTTTGTAAGACAGCGCACTTTTCTTATCTTAGGAATTTTGCTTTGGAATTCAATATACCTAGTACATATTTTTATTTGTTGCTTGTAACTTCTAAAGCATTTGTTTAATATAAACGATGTCTTCGACAAATTTATGTAAAAACAAGTCATTGACAATATTGTCTGACATCATTTAGTCCTACAGCAACTCAATATACTTTAAAACGCATTTGACAACATACAACTTTGCTTCCGCCTTTATTGTGAAGAACTTGCATAGTAAAAACGGCGGAAGCAAAGTTGTAAAATAAATGAAAGATTAATCCTCCTAAACGATTGTTCGGATTTTCATAAATCTTCCTAAATATATATATATATATATATATATATATATATATATCTATTTTATTATATAAAATTAAGTCGGGTTTTTCTTTCTGACGATATAACTCCAGAATGTACGAACCGATTCCGACGATTTTGCATTCGTTGGAAATGTCTGGGGCTCCGTGAGGTTTATTTATAGCTAGGTTATATATTATATATATATATATATATATATATATATATATATATCTGAGAACCAAGAACTAATATTCTATCACTATATTTAACATAAGGTAGTCAAGTAATTTCAATTAGGACTCTTTATTGCCCAATCAAAGCACATTTGGTAATAATATATATGCCAATTAGTTGTAAACACCTAAAACATTTTATAAGATATGTATAAAGAAATTATAAATTAACAACAATCAATATATAACTATTTACATTTTTATTACAAATTTTGAGGTTATGTTAAGAAACTGTATTTCAAAATATTTTTTTTATTAATTTGTTGATGAAAATACTTATTGCTGACATATATAATATAAACACCTCAAATACTGTATTTAAATACGTATAAACAAATATATATAAATACCTAAGTATATAAATAATCACATTCCCATTTTCAAGAAATAAATTTCCCAATCGTCCATCTGGCATCGCTTGCTATTATTAAGAATTTATTTGCCACTTCATAATAATTTTCCATGATGATTAAAATATTTATATTATTCACGTAATAATTTTCCAAAAGTAATGATTAAAAAATGCATATTAATATATTTGTATCAAAACAGAAACACCGAATGACAGTTGACGATTGAAAGTAAATGTCATGGATAAAATCATTGATAGAATCATAGATTCAATAAACTATATGGATAGTTTATAAATAATTAATTCTGAATTAGAATGAAAAACGGGATAAAAAGTATTACATATGTTTCTCCTGGCTCTAAACTACCTCCCTGCCACCAATAGATTACTGAGCCACGGCAACGCGTAGCCGGGCTAGCTAGTATATATATATATATATATATATATATATATAATGAATTAGAATGAAAAACGGGATAAAAAGTATTTCATATGTGTATCTCCTGGCTCTAAACTATCACCCTGCCAATTTTCATCTAAATCGGTTCAGCCGTTCGTGAGTTATAAGTGTTGCTACTTAAGCGATCCTCTTTTATATATATATACTAGCAAACCCGACGAACTCCGTTTCGCCACCAGATGGTTTCGTGAGAAAGATGAAATTTTTTGTTTGTTTTATATTTGAAAAGGAAAAATTTGATTTTATTATACAACAGTAATGAATTTATTTCGATTACAAAAATGAATTGTTTTTGAGTTGAACTTCTCTAAGTAAATGAAAGTGAATCCGCAAATTATCCGTTTCATTGAAGTGCTCTTTGGTAAACCACATTTTTTGTTTTCTGGTCTGACGTTAACACAAACAAAGCGGATGGTTTTCTAACTCGTGAACAGGCAACGTATAACTGCCCATGTGAAAAACAATGATTTTCTAAATAATCTATTTGAAATTTATCCCGCAAACACTAAGCGATTGGCCTTGCGACTTGTTATTAAGGCGAACTGGAAATTGCGATCGTTCGAAGTCAAACGGAAGACCAGTCGGAATCATTGGTATGTCACCAAATCGCTAGCAATTTTTGATTGAATGGTGAAATTCAGTGCGTGTACATCATTATTCTTTGCGGCAAGAATTGCTCGTTGACTTAACCAAGCATAATTCTGATAATTCTCACTAATGTTGTTACTCGAATTTTTAATTACGGTGTGTGAAGTTCCAGCAGCTTGCATTGGGGCACGATACCATGCACTACTTATTTTCTTAGCTATAAACCTTGCGGAGTCCGAGACCTTTCCCACGAATGCAAAATTGTCGAAATCGGTTCGTGCGTTCTGGAGTTATTTCGTCAGGAAGGAAAACCCGACTTATTATATATATATATATATATATATATATATATATATATATATAATATTCTTACATTACTTTCCACCGTCTGCCACTTCCTCGCCCTATTCCCTTTATCATCATCGGCAGAACTCGTGTATCTTCGTTTTCTTTTCCCAGAAGAAACTCCGGAGGCGACGACGTCCGGAGGCGGCGGCGGCGGTGGAGAATTGCTTTCTATCAGGCAGCAGTGATGTCTTTTTGAAAGACAACAAGATTGTTTTGGAAATTGGCGGTAGAGAGATTCTATGTCTTCTGGAGATTGCCTAGAGAAGAATAGTTGATATAAATATAATAAATTAAAAATAATTAAAAACAATGTCATAAATCGGATATTCATGGAAAAGTATCAAATCAATATATTTATGTTTCACTTGATTTCAAATAAAAAAAAACTAATTGCTATGCCAAAATAGATTTAGATATTCATCTAAAATTATAGTCTAAATATTACAATTTTGTTAAATAATTATCCAATATTTTGCAGTACGAAAATAGATAAAAAATTAATAAAAGTGCCAAAAATCAAACATCTTATATATTTCGACTCGGATTACTCAGAACTTTAACCATGTTAGTTTCAGGGATAATATGAATATCAATTTATAGTCGAAAATTTATATGATAAGTGATTAAAACATTATAGATCACAATAAAAAAGCGACATATTGAATTCAACATTAATCATAAACAAAATTCTGACAGTTCAAAAAAAATGAATTTTTAACGACTTCAATAAGATACAAATAAATTAATTATTCCAAGTTATGTTATAGGCAATATTGACAATCAAATTATAGATGAAAATTATACCATATTGTATTAAATTTCGACCAAAAAGGAAATATTTTGGCATTTAAAAATTTTGTGCATATTGGATATATGAAATTGACATTCAATATTTCTAAAAATAAAAAATCTGATATTTATATAAAAAATTATATATTTAGATAATATTTAGGTACTGCGTTGATTCAGACTAAAATCTAATTTATTCATTGATTTAAAAAAATATTTCACTATTTGACATAAATAAAATCAAAATAAACAAAACACTGTGATGCGTTGGAATTAATTATCGAAATGTAAAGAAATTTGTGTAATGAAAATATAACATTATTATTAAAATATCACGTATATTATAAGAACTTCTGCAAAGCGGCAAAATATTTTTGATGGCAAAACAGCGTTTGCCGGGTCAGCTAGTATAGATATATATACATACTATTATTTTGTGCAATATTACATAAGTTTTCCAGTTTATGAGAACATCATAAATTGTATCCGGTGGAGCAACAAGATGGTTTATTGTTAATTCGAAACGATATTTCATATCTTATCCAGAAACTGTATTCAGAATTTATATATTCATATACACACACATATATATATATATATATACAAATATAATTCATACAATCCGCTCGGTAAATAATTAATTATTATAATACAATTTGTTTCATTATTAATTACGTCAGGATTACTATGGTGAAAACAATTTAAATTTTACTCAATCGGATTTTGGGATTAAATGTTTTACGACATAATTAATTAGTTAAAATATTGCAGAACAATATGTTAATGTGAAATAGTTATTTAAATTATTGTCAATAATAATAATGGATTTGAATAAAATCATTTTGATAAACTAATACGACTTAAAATTAAAGTAGAAATGTTATTCAATAAAAAATTTAGGTAAGTTAAAATGTTAACATATTTTAACAAAAGTCTCAGATTAATTACTAAATGTCTTTTAATTATAAGACAGATTGTAATTCAAATATTAATAAAAAATATATATATTTTAACAAAAATTATGTGTACATTTTTAAAAATAAATCAAATATTGAAATATTGAATTCGAATTGATTCTTAAACCAAAAAAATTAAATATAACAAAAATAAGTTATTACATTTGTATGGGAAATAAAAATTAATTAAAAAATGTATATTTATAATTTTGTATAGTATAGAATATATAAATGTATAATTTATTCAAAGACAGACCTAAAAGATAATATATTCAACTAAAAGCCATAACTTAAATATCAAAATTTATTCTTGATCTTATCATTTTTGTGTATGGCATCGTGCCTTAAGGCAAATTGCTGGAACTTCCCGTACCGTAATGAAATATTCGATTAATTTTAAATGTTTTCAAATATATTATTACAAATACTGTAACTTTCATTATTTTTGCTATCTTGTTATATCTGTGCAAATCAAATGTAAATCATAAATCAATTTATTTCCAGAACATTAACAATCGTCATTTCATTTCGAATTCAATTTCAAAAAAAATTGTTGCCTAATTTACACAAAATTGAAAAAGTGCTCCCGTATAGTCACAGTCTAAACGCATTTGCCAATAATTCTGTGCGACATTTTCACTCGTACTGTGCTTAGCTTGGCGGCATTTTCACATTTTTCAATAGTTTTTTTTCTCACAAAATTTGAAAAGTTCTCCAGTAAATAAACAGTCCAAACGCACTTGGGTAAACATTTGAACCAGAGTGGCGCTTAGACTGTGCTTAGCCCGGGTGATTTTTTGCATTTTCAATCCAAAATGACAAATATTTTACGGAAAATAAAAAAAAAAAGTAATAATTTACCATTTATCCTCAAAAGCAATTGTTTTGTCAATACAAGTAGAATGTTTTTCTATTGTATCTCTTATAGTCAAAAATGATATTAAATTGCAAATTGATGGGAGTATTAATATATGCTCGATGAGTGAATATTTTAAATAAATGGTATTATTTTTATTTTTAAGTTTTATTGATTTTTATAAAAATATCTAAAACTATTTTCACTGACCTGTCAATATCACAAGAATTTTCATCAATTGAAGATCTTCCTGGATGCTGTTGACAGTTGCAAGGCGTTTCTACTACTAGATGTCTTCTTCTAAATTTAGAAAAAAATTATTAAAATTGGAGAACAAACTCTTAAAAATAAAATAGAAATAGATGAAATAATTACCCTGTTCCTTGAAAATAATAAAACAAATTAAACATTTGTGCCGTGTACTAAACGTAAGTTTATTGATTAGAAATTATTTCTATATTATTCGTAAATAAGAAAGGACTCTACTGACGACCAAACTAAAAATGAAAAAAGGTGGGGGACTCTACTGACGAGCAAAATAAAAATAAAATTCAAAGAGACTCTACTGATTATTAAATTAAAGTTAAAGGTAAAAGGGACTATACTATACTGACGAGCATACTAAAAGGGACTCTACTGACGAGCAAAACAATTTTTTTTTTTTTTGGTTTATTGTTTATGCAAACTATATACAAAACTAAAAATAAAAGAAAAATAAACTCTACTGATAATTAAATTTTAAATGGAAGAAAATGGGACTCTCCTGACGAGCAAACTAAAAATTAAAGAAAAAGGGACTCTACTGACGACCAAATAGAAATAAAATTCAAAGAGACTACTGATGATTAAATTAAAAATTAAAGGAAAAAGAAAAAAAAGGACTCTACTGACGAGCAAAATTGAAAATGAAAGAAAAGGGACTCTACTGACGAGCATACTAAAATAAAATTAAAAAGGGACTCTACTGACGAGCAAAATTAAAATAACATTCAAAGATACTCTACTGATGACTAAATTGAAAATTAAAGAAAAATGGACTCTAAAATAACAATCTAAAGCAATCTAAAAATAACATTAAAAGGGGACTCTACTGACGAGCAAAATAAAAATAACATTAAAAAGGGACTCTACTGACGAGCAATCTAAAAATAACATTAAAAAGGGACTCTACTGACGAGCTATTTAAAAATAACATTAAAAAGGGACTCTTATGACGAGCAATCTAAAAATAACATTAAAAAGGGACTCTACTAACGAGCAAAACTAAAAATAATATTAAAAAGGGACTCTACTGACAAGCAAAATAAAAATAAAATTCAAAGAGACTCTACTGATGATTAAATTAAAAATTAAAGAAAAACGGACTCTACTGACGAGCAAAACTAAAAATAAAATTAAAAATGGACTTGTAGTTTCTATAAATCTTTGAAGTTATTAAAATGGAAAATATTTTATAGGCAAGACAGATACAGCTGCTCAAAGAATGAGATTATATCGCTAGCGAAAAAGTAAAAAAATACAAGCAGTCAATGAATGTATGTTAATTTTAATTACATGAAGTTCTTCAAACACAATTATTATATGAAGAGTGAAGTTACGAAAACAATATTTGTTTAGGCGTTATAGAATTTATATTATAGAATTTTATTAATCTACAATTACTTCATTTCTCTAATGAAGGTTCATTTCTAAATGCTAATTACAATGACAAACCGATCATGTCATATTTGAAGTATGACTTTAATTACATCATTGTTTCTAAATATTATACATATTTTGAATGCTATTATAAATATATAATTTACAATTTATCATCATATAAATGTGTATACTGATTGAAGACACTAATAAATGTGTGCATCACGAGTGTTACTATCATATTACTAAGAAACATTATTCAAAATTGTTATATGATGTTTTTATTTTTACTTAAATGCCATCTTGTACAGTAGCAAATAAGTTTTACTTCAATCGCGTGTAAACCTTACGCGCACTCTTTTTTTTAATTTTTATTATTTTTTACAAACCTGCAATTACTTCTAAATGTTACAACCAAAGGTCTGACAGCTGTCGTTGTAACTTTAACAGCTGTTGTAACATCTTCTGATGGAATTTGAATTTGTCTTCTTTCCTGTGGACACATTTTTGGACTGTGCAAAGACTCTGAACAATACCTAAAAAAATAGAATAATAAAAAATTGATAAAGGAAAAGTGTCTTCTAAGAATGTTGTAAATTTTATCTAGTTTCACACTATCTAACTGCAAAGGGGTAGTTTCATATGAAATTTTTGAGTTATTTGACAAAAACCAAAAAAATGTCCCGAATTTTCTATTTATTGCTTAAGAATAAAATATCGAATTCAAAGTCGTTTTATTCAAGACTTTTATATCGGCAAAGAAATATATATTGTAGGCTTTACTTGTTCTTGAATAATATATAAATAATTTAAAAAAAGTTGTATAAAAACATCTTAAGTAGAATAGATAAAAAATGTCTTAAGTAATCTAAAAGAACAAAGTCTCAAATAATATGCAAAGCAACTAGCTGTAAGTGGAATTCTGTCTTAAGGCAAATTGCTGGAATTTCCCGTACCGCAATTCAAAATTCGAGTAATTAAAAATAATCAATAAAAGTTGATCAAATGATTTGAAACTTTTAATAGAATTTCGAACCATATTAAATCATTCTATCTTAAATCATTTATTTTGAAATATTTTGGAAATTCTGAACTTTTTTTCAATGCAATCGTACTGCTTTCACTGCATAAAGACTAAATATCAAAGCGCGTAAGCGCCGCATCGCCGTCTAACGCGTAAACATTGGTACGGAATCCATGGGAATGTAAAAAAATTTATACTTATTGTTAAAATCTTTATAAAATATCTGATAATTTGATGTGCATATGTCTAATGATCATTTTTAACCGCTAAATGGCATTTGTTTTACTTTTTCCTCCATATCTCCAAAGTCGTTGGACCTGCCTTTCCAAAAAATTGAACAGTTCTTCATTTAGTCAATACAAATAAAATGTTTTTTGAATTATTCAAATCGGACGCTCCGTTCTCTTAAAAACTGAGTTACCGTTTGGACACTTTTTGCCTCGTATCTTCGGAACGGCTAGACCTGCCTTCGCCAAAAACTAATCAGCACGTCTCCTTATCAATACGAATCGAATGTTTTTTGAATTATTCAAATCGGTTGATCCGTGTTCCCGAAATCGTCGACGAAAATTTGTATCCGCACATACATACACACACGCACATACATACATACATACATACATACATACATACATACATACATACATACACACACACACACACACACACACACACACACACATACATCCATTTTTTCTAAGGTATGCCAAAATGTTCAGAAACCTTTGAAACGTAAAGATATATAAAAATTTTCATTTTCGATTTTTTTGCGGTTACTATTACTTGCCCTACGGGAAGTTAAAAATCTCAATAAGCATAGAAAAAAAAGTCTGAAGTAATCTAATATTAAGATTAAGTCTTGAATAGTCTTGAAAATCGATATATGTATGATATTGTATTCCAGTATAAAATATTTTAATTCATCATTATTAATTTTAGTTTAATTATCTTTAATATTTTGAATCATATTGTGACGAGTATATATATTTGGGTGGTCCTTAATATGGACGTTTTCAAACTTCCTTGCTCCCAGGGGCTCAAATGGTTCCAAATAGATAAAAAACAATTCTCTGAAAGTTTTAGCTCTTAATATTAACGTTTAGATAGAGCGCAATTCAGTCAAAGTTTTGAATGGAAATAGCATGAAAAATTTTTCAAAAATTTTGCAGAGCGTCGAATTTATGACACGAATTTTCACTTTTAATTCATTTGTCGCTAAGTTATACCTATAAAAATTTCTTTATAAATTTTCAAAATTTTTTCCATGCTATTTCCTTAAGAAGTTTGTTTGAATTGCGCACTATCTAAAAGTTAATATTAAAAGCTAAAACTTTAAGAAAATTATTTTTTATGAATTAGGAACCATTTGAGCCCTTGGGAGCAAGGAAATTCAAAAATGTCCTTATTAAGGACCACCATGATAGATTATTTCATAGATTATTTATATAAATGTACATGTCAATTTTAAGAATAATTACAAAAATTTTAACATAGTGTAGATAGAATTATCATAATAATTATAATGTACAAAGTTGATAAACATCCCCATAATTTTGTTTAATATATTCAATGGAACTCTGTTATTTAATTGAGTAATAAAATACATTTACAGGTAATATATGCAAATTAAGAATACGTCTATATCAATAATTAGTTCGTACAAATATACTGCCAAATTTACATGGAATAATTCCAAAAAGTAGGTCGGTCCTGCATTCAAAATGGCATTAATTTTATAAATTTTATAAATATATATAAATTTTTTACCCATCGCTCAAGTTCCTCCTCATATCTCGATTTCTAAGGGCGCTCGAAGAATTCGCCCTTAAAATAGTCGAAGAGTGCCCTCGAAGGACCTCAGACCTTGGTTCCCTTACAGAATGTGCTCGTCTGATTCTTGGTACGGAACTGGCCCTTCCTGTATGGCAACATCTTGCCAAAGTCACCTGAAAAGAAAAAAAATATCTTAAAATTCAATTATGGAAAAGAACAATAAAATTAGTATAAAAGTTTTTAGAAATTTATTTATTTAAAATCCATACGTTTCGGCTAGCATCTTAGCCTTCATTCAGTGGCAATCAATTTAACTATAAAAATTAAACCTATATAAATAATATTTTAGAAATTTCATAGAAAAACAATAATAATGATACTAATAATAATAAAGCACAAATAATTTTGTATCCTAATATAGCATATGAAACCATTATTAATCCATGGTATGAGTATGTGCACATTGATAAAATATATATTTTTAACATCACAGATGGTAAAACACACAAATAAAAATGTTAACTTGACAAGTTGTCGAAACTCAGTATTTACTGTTCAGAGTTTATGATAGAAATGTCACATTTTTTTTTTTGAAGCAGTTTTCAGCATGTGTTCAAATTTAACGAGAAATTTAAAAAGCTATAAGATCTTGTCATTTTTAAGAAATTTTGACACGCGGTTTAGGAACCACGTGTTTGTTTTGTTCATTATATTGTCAAGGCGTTTGTTTACGACCCTGTCGTTATGCAATTGCAAAAACAACCCTTCAACAAATCTTTTTTTAATTATGTTCTGTTCAAAATGTAAATTTTTTGGGTTGAAAAAATCTATATTATGGTTTAAATTGATAATGTGTTCGGTGAGCATTGTCTTAAATTGTTTGGGATTTTTTGAGTAATTTCTATATTGATGAAGACGTTTGCTCAGGTTTTGGCTAGTTTCTCCGATATAAAAAAGTACGCAATTAGAGCAATGAATCTGATATACCTTATAAATAAATAATAATAATATAAATCTTATAAATAAATTATGAATAGTTTTAAATTTTAATCTTCTCAACCAAAAAAATGCTGAAACCTTTCCATTATTTTTATAGTACATCTCGAGTGCGTTTATGAACTTTTTTCCATGTTTAGTTTATTATAAATATTTTATTTCGATTAAACATTAAACAATGACATTCTATAAATATTGTTTTATTATTTTAGGTCACAATTTCCAAAAACTTTCCAATATTTTCTTAATATTTACCGATAATGTTCAGGGACGTTTTTATCGCCTGTCAATTTTCTTGATGTCTCAGTAACATATAAGGGCATTAATTTCTAATCATTGTCCAAAAACATAAAAGATATTATTTGATCGACGTGTCGTATCCATTTACAAAATAATTTATTATATATATCTGATATATATATATATATATATATATATATATATATATATATATATATATATAATAAGCTGTATTTTTGTATAAGGCGAAAGCTTGTGGTAAAAACTAACACTCCATAGTTAAAGGACATATTTTTGGGTTTTTAACTAAATTTAATAAACTATGATATTTATAAAAAAAATTGTGTTAACAAAAGTTATAACTGAATAAATTTGCAATATTTTTTTCATATAAAGTTAGTGTCTATGTTTAATATTTATCGATTTGTAATTTTTTTCATATAAAGTTAGTATCTATTTTGAATATTTATCGATTTATAAATAAATCAACTCAACTGATATTCATTTCAAGAATTAGTTTATAATTCAAGTACGTATTTTTAGATTTCTGACTAAATTTGATAAACTATGATATTTGTATAAAAATGCAGTTAGCAAAACTTGTAACTGAATAAAATTTGAATAATTTTTTTATATAAAATTAGTATCTATTTTTAATATTTATCGATTTATAAATTTTTTTCATATAAAGTTAGTATGTATTTTTAATATTTATCGATTTATAAATAAATCAACTCAACTGATATTCTTTTCTAGAATTAGTTTATGATTCAAGTACGTACTTTTAGATTTCTGACTAACTTTAATAAACTATAACATTTATATAAAAATATTGTTAATAAAAGTTATAACTGAATAAATTTGCAACATTTCTTTCATATAATGTTAGTATCTATTTTTAATATTTATCGATTTATATTCATATTATACTCATATTAGATATTATATTATACTCAACTGATATTCTTTTAAAGAATTAGTTTATAATTCAAGTACGTATCATTAGATTTCCGACTAAATTTAATAAACTATGATATTTATAAAAAATGATATTAACAAGATAGATAACTAAATAAATTTGCATCATTTTTTTCATAAAAATTTAGTATTAGTTTTTAACATTTATTGATTTAATAATAAAACGATTAGATACATAATCGATTTATGAAGGAATTTACATTTAGAGAAAAAATATGCAAATTTTCAGCCAAATCTAAACAAATATGATATTTATATAAAAATGAAGTTAACAAAACTTGTAACTTAATAAATTTACAACAAATCTTTCATACAAACTTATTATTTATTTTCCTTTTTTGTCGATTGAAATAAAATATTTATTTAATAATTTATAATAATTAAAATTTCAGTACAAATTTTCAGATTTTCAACAAAATAACGGAAACTACTTCAAAATATTTAATACAATATTAATAAAAATTGTACAAAACTGAATAATTGTACAAAAACTTACTCAAACAAAGTTTATACGAAATCTTACAATTTTTGCATTTATTAATAAAATATGTAAAATAATTATTTAATTTTATTAGGTACACTTTTCTATATTTGTGATCAAAACTCCTAAACTATGATATCTGAATGATTACAATTTTTTTTTTATAACAAACTTTTTAGATATCTTCATGTTGTAAATTTTTTTTAATTTTTTCCTATCTAACTGAAAAGGGGTGGTTCCATATGAAATTTTTGAGTTATATGACAAAAACCAAAGAAAGGAAATCTTATAATTTTTGCATTCATCAAGCAAAATAATTATTTAATTTTATTAGGTACACTTTGCTATATTTGTGACCAAAACTCCTAAACCATGATATCTATGGTCATATGTTATTTACAAGAAATGTAGCTGAAATGAATACAAAAAACTTTTTCTAACAAGCTTTTTAGGTATCTTCAATATTTATGAAGAAAAAAGTAAAATATAACGACCGACTCTCCGTCTATTTATGAAACAGTTTATGATCGACTACGAAGTATGAGACAATGATTGAGCGATCACCAATTGCTTTTAAAAGTATCAGAAATTTATTAAATATATATATATATATATATATATATATATAAACATATATATATATATATATATGTAATATTTGCCAAATTTCTTAAATAAAAATTCTTGTTAAAAACTAAAATAAAGGTACTTAAAAAAGAAAAACTTCAACAACACGATTGACGTTATAAAAATGGATTTTTTGTGAAACAGTGAAAATTTCAAAGAACGGCATATATATATATATATATATATATATATATATATATATACATATATACACATATCCATATATCCTTTTCATATTACATTACAAATTCACTGCCGCAAAATGCAAGAAATGAAATGCATTTTCGATTTCGAAATGCACATCAAAGAAAAATGCATTTCTCTTCGCCTTTTCTTGACACGACAAGAATGACAACTTGAAAATGCATTTTTCAAAAGGGCAACAATAAATAAGTACATACACGTGTACTACTCGCCAAAAGGAACGCTTTTCTTATGTTAATAATAAATATATCAAAGATTTATGAATGAGGTGTAAAGGACACGTAATATGCATATGAATGAAAGTAATATTGATTTTCTGGTGCGATTTTAAAGTATACCAAGTTGCTGTAGGATAGTATGATATTAGACAAGTTCATAGATTATTTTATTTTAAACTAGATGACCAGCCAGACATTGTCCTGTACCCACATCTACATTTTTTTATTAATCTATACTAATATTTCCCGTTCAGTTAAAAATAACAATTATTGTTTTTCGAGTCACTATTTACGCCAATATATGAGTGATGTTAAATGTATGTAATGCTTCAAATAAAATTATGATTCTCAATTCCCACAGTTAACACTTTAATTATCCCTTCAACAAATATTAAAATATGTTCAATAAAATTGTATGTTGAAAATTATACACTGCAATTTATAGTACAAATTTATTTCCAATAGCTCGATTTGTTTTAATGCCTAGAGTTATACAATATTTTTAGTCATACATGTAGATGTGGATGTATAAATGAATGATTTTTTGCTTATTCACGACTGAAGCATTGATTTTCCAAATTTTTCACACAAGAAATTGTCTGCATTTGTGACTTATAGCATAAGGTATACGTATTGGAAATTGAAGTCTTTTAGAAGGTATAACAAATTCAGAAAGAATTAATATATAGCATTCGAGGTGAAGGAACAATATCACCTGGAATTTTTCTACCCAAAATAATTGCATCAATAATATTGCCTATAATTTTTATAATTTTGTACCATATTTTAATTGGCTTTTAGTAATTTTAATATCTAAATTACATTTTTCTCATTAATAATTCAATATACATTATTACTCAAGTTCATATTTGAAGTGAGTTAATTTGTCAAATCCTGTTTACATGTTCTCTATTCAACATACGATCAGCAAAATTATTGCAGTAAATAGAGAGGAAAAAAGTGTGCCTTGTGAATTTTTTCACTGTGCTCCAATTTGCTAGATATTTTGGGAATATGCTAATCTTTATCTTAAGTTGAGAAATGAAAACAATTTGTACAATTACCTTGACTAACTCCCGCATTAATTGGATTATAATTCTTTTAATTCTGATTTTATCAGAACTTGTAATATACTATTTTAAAGGTAATGACAAATGACAGTCTTCTAAATGCCAAACAATGCTTCTAATATTTTCAATATCAATAAATGATAAGCGGTTTTTTTTAATGTTTTACATTTATTTCTACAATCTAACTACATTACTATAATTCAAAAAATCATAAAAAAATTCCTATAACAAACTTCAAAAAAATTTATAAAAATCTGATAATTGTTTTGGGAGATTATTAACTTCCCGTAGGG